ATCGTAATTACAATACATGCTATTTAATTATATTGGATTAGTTAGCAGTTACGTCATAGCATAAAGTACATTCCAGTTAAAAAAAAGGTATTGTTCAAAATAAATATTCACATCACTATAACCCATACATAATAATCTTAATAAATTACCTGATATGGTGCAACTCTCGGTGGCAGTACAAGACCTTTGTCATCACTATGTACCATAACTACAACACCTAGTGTACGAGTAGTTAATCCCCATGAATTTTGATAAACATAAGCCGGCTTTCCAGTTACTGGATGATCATATGTAACATTGAACATATGACTAAAATTTTGACCTAAATGATGTGATGTAGCACCTTGAATTGCACGTCCATTACCATCAATATATATCTCGACAGTTGTTGTATAATCTCCACCAGGGAATTTTTCATGATCAGTTTTACGCCCTAATAGATAAATTAATGGATATACATATATATATAAGTAAAATTAGTAGTCTGTACAACGATTTAAAAAAACGATAATTCTGTGGTGCTGTGGTGCGAACTACTTATAAGTAGTATATGACATGAGTGTCAACGTAATGTCTGGCAGCCGAACATGGGGGAATATCAAGAAAGGAAGAGTTAGAAAACAATGGAATTTGTATGAAACGCATGAATAGTGACAATGGATTGATGTTTGGCAACAGGAACAGTCCAGTTCGATAGGATGAACTGATCTTTTGCAAATGAACGATTTACGATATGGTTTTCCTATTTTACTGAGTAACTCTGTAATTTGCGATAAATACAATTCGGTTGCCCCACCTGTGTTCTCGTTCACTACAATTCTTTAAGCTTAATACAGAAAATAGCCACAGAACAAGATCATATCATTAATTACTAGTCTACATGTTAACATAACACAACCCCTTACGGATTAACATTGAAATCTAGATTAAGAAATGAATACTAGCAGGAGATCTTGTATTCTCTTTAGGAATATCTTTTTTTTATACAAATTCGATGCATAAATACAAATCAAGTTAAGCAACACAATCAATTCAACCACAGAGTCTACGAACAAACAAAAGGAACACCAATGGGATCACCAATATCAGGACTCATCGCGGAAGCGGTAATACAGAGACAAGAAGCGTCGATTTTACCAGTGATCAAGCCAAAAATGTGGGTTCGCTATGTAGACGACACATTCGTTATTATCAAAAGGAATGAGCTGGAGAACATCTACAATCAGATCAACAACGTCTTCGGTGACATTAAATTCACGATGGAAAAGGGATGAAACAACAGTCTATCAATCCTGTATGTACTGATCACCAGAACTAACGCAGAAAAACTGGAAACGCACTGGAAACCAACCCGCACAGACGTAATTCTCAACTACGATAGCAACAACCCAAGAACCCACAAAATCAATTGCATACAAAATTTGTTCAAGAGAGCGAAGACACACTGCAGCACATACGAAGCACTAAAAAATGAGGAAAAACACCTGGTGACTATCTTCTAAAAGAACGGCTATCCACTTCATTAAAAAACATCAACCGAAATCATCATCAGAAACGAAATCAAGCACAGAAACCAATAAATGGATCATCCTACCATACATAAAAGACATATCGGAGCATACAGCACGACTGCTGAAACCATTTGGAATAGGTGTGGCACACAAAACAACAGAATCACTTTAATCAATCCTATGTAGACCAAAGGACAAAATGACAAAGGAAGAAAAACCAAATATCATCTACAAAATAAATTGCTTAGACTGTTAAAAACACTACATAGGAGAAAGTGGACGGCCTCTACAGCTTCGTTTACGTGAACACCAATTAGCAGTCAAACGCCACGACAACGCTACGGTTATATCAATACACGCCGACAATTATGGACATACATTCGATTGGAACAATGTGGAAATACTGGATAGGAGGAGGACAAAGAACACTAGAGAATTTTTAGAAGCTTGGCACTCAGGTCAATCAGCAATCAACAAACACATCGACATTGACCCAATTTATCAACCAATCAGAAAAATCATAGTTGACATAGGATCAAGAAACAGATCAAAAGGAGGATACAATCAAAACAAAGGTGCAAACAACGACAGGTTTAAGGTCAACAGCAACCAATCAAGATCGAGGTTAGCAGAACAAGCTACAGGTCAAACGTGGAGAAATTCGAGTGCTTCACTTCCGCTATCTGAAGTTTGTGCTGCTGTTGTTCAGTTGAAGAACAATTAAAGCCCCACAACCAAAACCAAACACCGCCACCACAACACAATCACTTGCCAACGGAGTTCGATCGCGTCTCCTTCACAATAGCAGAAAAGCCATAGGAATTCGTACATTCAACCCCAATTTATGTGTTCAGAAGAAATTCATGACACCGCTATCTCTTCCGTGGCCGTAACTAACGATTTAAGATTTAAAAAATTTGTTTCTTTTTTGGTTTACATTTTATCTTGTTATTATTAGCATCCTTCGCACAAGCTGTATTTGTTTGAAATTCTCTGCCTCTTTCCGTTTATATTCTTCACTATCTAAGTATATACACACTTCTTATTACGTAATAGTTTTTAATGTTTTGTAATGATTATTCCAAGTCTATTTATCCACGTTTGACCTACTATTGATAAAAAAATGAGGCACCTAAATATTTATTCGCCATACAAATTATTGTTTTTATGAATGGGCTGAGATATTGTCCAGATGATCGAACTGAAGTAGTTGGTTTTCTAAAACCTAATCCACAAGGCAATGGAGTGACATCAGGAGATGTAGTTCTATGGTAGCCAGTGATCAATTATGGGTTTATATACCATTCTTTCTGTCAAGATGATGGAGGCCATGTACACCAGTAATCTGGAATCAGTGTTTTCTAACTCACCTAGATAGACATCCGATTTCCACCGATTCAGTTAAAGCGCCAGCACTCGCTTCTCATTCTCTCAATTTTGTAAACAAAACTTGTGCCATAAGAAGGTAGTGAGTAGTACTTCCTTGGCACTGGCTATATACGCGTGGCCGTGCGAGAGTATTTTGAAGGAGAAAGAGGGAGAGCGGACTCACTATACTCTCGGCTGTACGAGGGCATATGCGGGTGCAATATCCTATGAATGTACATAATCGATTATAAGACACGGTGCAAGAGTGACAAAAGAAGGAGTCATTTTAAGATCATTCAGATCAGAACAGGTAGTAACCAACTGATAAGTTTTATGCCATTTATTAGAAGAAGTGAGCATCAACCTGAGGCTGTTCCAACATAATGAAGTTTACAAATATTTAGCATATTTTCACCAAGTTGTAATTGAATCCTAAAAGACGAATGCAATATACTTGAATTTTATTTTATTTTCAAATTTTATTGCTGTAAACAACATCAGCAGTATAATTATTATTATTATTACCTTTGACCACAGGAACTGCAAGCAGATATTCATAAACTTCAGCATATAGGTCCAATATTTGGCGGACTTCAGCTTCTGCATCGGCTTTGTCTGCAAAAGCAGTATGTCCTTCTTGCCAGAGGAATTCACGTGTACTAAAGTAAGTAAGATGAAAAAAAAATCAAAAGAGGTTGACGAGTGAAAATTTAAAAAAAGGCAAAAAAAATTGCACAAGATAATTATATACCAGCTAGTAAAATAGTTTCAAGCCATTGTTTTGTGGAATATAATCTACAATAAGCCCATCTTGTGGTGGTGTTTGGTTCTCTGAACTGGTTATGTTTTGGTTGTGGAGCTTTCATTGTTCTTCTGCTGAACAACATCATCAGCACAAACTTCAGATAGCAGAAGTGAAGTATTTGAATTTCTCCACGTTTGACTGGTAGCTTGTTTTGCTAACCTCGATCTTGATTGGTTGCTGTTGATCTTAAACCTATCGTTGTTTGCACCTTTGTTTTGATTGTATCCTCCTTTGGGTCCGCGAGATGATAATAATCGATGGTTAGATACCCTGAATGACATGGCTCGAAATCGTTCGCAATGGCGCCGGTGCATTTATTCTTCGTGTTCTCTCAAATCCTAATCTTCTGGATTCTTCAACCCCTCTAGTTTTGACTTTCTTAACTTGTCTCACTGAATCATACTTCTTGAATAATATCTTCTAATCCTAACCTTTCCGATTACTTATAATACCCGTACTACCTCTTCTACTATTGGATTTGAATTGACAATTACATCTCTGTGCTGATGTGGTATGGCGACATGAACTGATGTACTTACGTACGAAGTTCTACGTTGCAACTGACTGACTGTATCCTCCTTTTGATCTGTTTCTTGATCCTATGTCAACTATGATTTTCCTGATTGGTTGATAAATTGGGTCAATGTCGATGTGTTTGTCGATTGTTGATTCAGCTGAGTGCAAAGCTTCTAAACATTCTCTAGTGTTCTTTGTCCTCCCCCTATCCAGTATTTCCACATTGTTCCAATCGAATGTATGTCCATAATTGTCGGTGTGTATTGCAACCTGACAGCTGGAAATGACCGAATGCTCCACTTCAAGTACTAAAACCAAGATCTAACGGTTTTTGATTTTAGCGATTGGACGAACACTACAGTTTATAAGTGTATTGGTTTCAGTAATTAAAATAATGAGAATACTACAAACCTTTTGCTCAGAATAGTATATTCTTACGGTTTAGGAGATTGGTTATAAAGTCGACTTTAAAACTTCTTTGATTAATAATTTATCAAAGATGTATCATACATAAACTCTGTTTGGAACACTAGTAGGATAGTTCACGGTAGTTCATAGTCTAAAGCATTCAGCTTTCAATCACTAGACTGGATGTTTGTTCCCTGTTTCGCTCACCTACTTCTACATCCACAATTAAGTACTACGAGGTGAGGCTAGAAAAAAACAATCACACAAAAACGTCTGTTTGGTCACTGGGTTACATTTAATCCCATTGTCCGCTTTAAGCAACCATCAGGCAAGTATCAGGACAATAACACGCTTTCGAATATCAGACTATAAAATCATTCATAAATATCCAATATTCTTTGATACTGAATAACTAGTAAATTAAGATAGTCAATAAATTTACCGTAGAAAAGGTTGTGGGTGCTTAAATTCCCATCGGACAACATTACTCCACTGATTAATACGAAGTGGTAAATCTCGATGAGATTGAATCCATTTAGCAAATGTTGGATACATTACTGTTTCACTAGTTGGTCGAATAGCAATTGGCTCCATTAGATCTGTATTACCTGATTTTGTCACCCAAGCAACCTGTTTGGTAAGAAACAAACAAAATTAGTTGGTAAACCAGATGCTCAAAATTGTTGAGTTCCTGTTTTAAAGGTATGCTAATGAGTACTAGGTAGGGATGGCCAATCAATAGACGAAGTATTGAAACTGCATCAGTTGAGGTGGTTGGGATATGTGTTACGAATGCTCAACAACTGACTGCCTCGACGAGCTGTGTTTTGTGGTGTAGGATTTGGCTGGAAGCTAGGGGTGACTAGACCAAAATATGGCACAAATCCATGAAGTCACTGACTAGTGGACTGAGTTATGTTGTAGACTACCAGGTTGTAGTCCACGAGACGATAGTAATCGATGGTTAGAGACCTTGAATGACATGGCTCAAAATCGTTTGCGATGGCGCACGTGCATCCACTCTTTGTGTTCTCTCTAATTCTAAATTCCTGATTTCCTCATCACCTCTATCTTTCTCTTTCTAAATGTATTTCATTGAATTACACTTCTTGAATAATTTCTTCGAACCCGAATGTTCCCCATTACTGTTAATACTTCTACTATCTCTACCACTATGGGATTCGGACTGACAGTTGCATCTCTGTGCTAATACGGTATGGTAGCCTGAATTGATGTACGTACGTACGAAGTTCTACGTTGTAACTGACTTAATGACTAGACTAGACGGTCACAACTTCAATGAAAAAACGGAGGTAAATAACTGCATAAGCTTCAACCCTAAAGGAAATCATTCACGACCACAGTATCGTAGTGGTAAGGTTTGACTGTTGTCGCTATGTAATGACGTATTCGAATCTCAAGGAAAGTGTCAGTTCACTCAAGCTTTCAGCAAGTAACAGAGGTCCAGAGATTTTTCCTATGACCATCACATAACATCAAAACAAAGTTCAAACTGAAAGAAACAATTTGTACTCACTTCAGGTGCGAAATCAGCAATATGCTTTTTTTCACATTCTAATGCTGATTTTGAGACAAACATTGGGAAATAAGCATTTTCTACGCCCATCACTTCGAGTTTTTCATCCATAAACCGTTGAATGGACTGCCATATATGATAAGCCCATGGACGAATAACATAACATCCACTGATATCATAATAGTCTAGTAATTCAGATTTTACAATTAGTTCGGAATACCAATCAGAGAAGTGAGTTTCTCTTGATGCTTCGAGAGCTAATCTATTTTAAAAAAATTAAATTATAAATGACATAGATATTGTGCATTAACGAGTTCTACAGTGATCTAGTTAGACATTAACACCGTTAGATACCGGCTCAGTGGTCCAGAGGTTAGGCGCGAAGGTCCTGGGTTCGAACCCTGCGGGGTGCAGGGATCGTGGATGCACACTGTCACTGATGAGTCCCATACCAGGACGAAACGGCCGTCCAGTGCCTCCAGGTTTCTAATGGTGGTCTAACTTTAATCGATTCATGGTTTCAAAATGTGTATATTATTTAAAGCAACAAAAAACTTTACTGAACCAAAATCACGTGATGACATTGCTTAGTAAACAAAACGAAGTTCTCTCAATATAAGTACGTCAATATTTAAGCGAGAATACGCTTTCATATGTCAGAAAAGATAAATGCTTCGTGATTGTCCACACCGTAGAATGGAATTTTCTTCTTGAGTGGATCCAAGAATTAGAACGAAATTTCTATTAATGAACTTAATTGATATTGGAGAGTGATTGCAGAGCCCAACAGATAATTGTTCAAAGTCTATCCCACACAACGTCTGTGTAAGTTATTTACTCTGACATCATATCCGAAAACCTGTGGAACAACATAGGGCGTAGTAATTCCAGACGTGACCTTCACGAAAAACTGTCAGCAAGAGGTTAATTTTGTTGGAAATGCTAGTTATTGGTTACAAACACCATACTGTTGTTACACGTCAATACAGCCAGTAGTACGTCTAAAGTGAACTAGTGTCAGTAGTATGTTATTATAGAATTTTCTATTAACTCCTATCGTCTTGTCAGATTTTAATTGACCTCCATTATCAAATGCAGTCGATTAGATAAATCGGATAAACTACCACAAATGATGAATCTAACGAACACAACAAGATCACAGCCATAGTTAAACAGGAGAGTTGTACATGGTTTATTTGGGCTGAGATTACGGTCAAAAATGAGAAATCTTGAGTTCTAGATAACACTACGTTTACAAATAACACTGTTGACAATAAAACGACTAAATGTTAGAATCAAATCAGTATTTTGTTTAGTAATTAAAAAAAAAACGGTGATAGCAGCTATTGAAATCACACTGAAGATGATATTTCTAAAGCTAATCAACTGAGACGAGTGACAATACTTCTTTGCATGAAACTACATATGGCTAACCACCGACTGCCACGACGAGCTATGTTTTGTGGTGTAGGAGTAGGTTGGAAGAAAGCTAAGGGTGGCCAAACCAAAACATGGCACAAATCCATGAAGTCATTGACTAGTGGGCTGAGTCATGTTGGTAGATGTAGACTACCTGGTTGGGGTCCGCGAGACGAAAGTTAGAGACCTTGAACGACATGGCTCAAAATCGTTTGCAATGGCGCAAATGCATCCATTCGTTGAGCTCTCTCAAATCCTAATCTTCTGGATTCGTCAGCACCTCTACCTTTGTCTTTCTAACCTTATCTCACTGAATTATACTTCTTGAATAATATCTTCCAACCCTAGTCTTCTTCATTACCATTAATACCTCTACTATGTTTATCACTATGGGATTTGATTTGACATTTGCGTCTCTGTGCTAATGTGGTATGGCAACCTGAACTTATGTACATACGTACGAAGTTCTACGTTGGAACTGACTGACTACATATTCCTGCTCCGCTGGAATCTGGTTTATTCTCTCCCACAGTATGTTGTTGTTCATGGTGTATGGCCAACATTCAGTGACAGTAGCGGTCCTATTGTTAACTACACGTATACTTAGCAAACTGAATAGATCCACTTCTTGTGTATTAAGTAAAACACCAATCAATACAACACTGTTCTAATCATTCGGTATTTCTAAACCGCATTACCGTTTTCTATGAGCTTGAATAAGAATCACATGGACGAAGAAAGGAGCTGACATAAATTCAAATAACTTCTTGGTGTTCGCCAAGATGAAACTGAAATTAGAGAAGCACTGGACAACTCGAAAAATTGAATTAAAAAAGTTCAATACGGCCTTTCTTCAGGATGAGGGTGAATTCAACAAATATCAAGCTTCACAAGATCTACTCAAAGAAAAGGAAACTACCATGGAGAACAAATGGAAAGGGATTGAACAAATATTAATTTTAACATTTCATAGGGATTCGGATCACAAGAAGCACCATCACAAGGAACAGAACTCTGTTGACACACTGGATAGGATTCAAGAAAGGAAGAACAGGAAGATAGCAACCAATAGCAGCCAAAAAAGAGCACAGAAAGTCAAGATTAAGACCAACACATAATCAAACAGACAGCTGAATGAAGAGTATGGTAAACCAAAATGACCGGTCAAGAACAAAGAAAGCAAAGCAATCATCAACATTCAAAAACAACGAAACAAGTAAGTAGAGTACTTAGAAGGGCTCTTCAGTAGACCAACTCCACTAAACTCACCTAAAATCAAGGCAGAACCTAAGGATCTCGCAATTGATGTCAACCCAACAACAACTGAAGAAATCAGCATGGCCATAAAACAAATCAAGAATGGCAAGGCAGAAAAACCAGACAACATTCTAGCTGAGGCAATTGAAAGTAAACATAACGGTAACTGCAAAGATGTTCAATCAAGATTTGGGACGAGGAACATGTACCAAAAGACTAGGAAGAAAGACAGCTCATCAAGAGATCAAAGAAAGGAGATCGCAGCAAGTGTGAGAACTACAAGGGCATCACTCTTCTCTCGGTACCAAGAACAGTCTCCAAAAGTGTTTTAAAACCGAATAAAAGATTCAGCAAACGCCCAAGTTCGAGATCAGCAGGGCAGATTCCGTAAAGACCAATTGTGTACAGAACAAATCTCGATATTACGAATCCCAAGCACAATAACGAATGTAGGTGAAGACTCCCAGTAAACATCAGTACACCTTAACATTAAAAAGAGAAAAAGTAGGATCCCTAAATACAAAACAACAAGAACTAACGAAATCACACTTGATGAAGCTCTGAAAAATATGAAACCTTTTACACACCTCAGCAGTGTCACTGTGATAAATAGCATCATCTTACGCAGATGTGCAGGCACCGAATGGTAAAGCAACGGCAAAATTGAAGAACATTTGGGTCTTAGAACAACTATCAACCAACACCAAAGTCACATTTTTTAATGCAAACATCAAGATAATTCTATTTATTGAAGCGGAAACTTGGAGAACTACAAAGTAGTCAGTAATAATAATAATAATAATAATAATAATAATAATAATAATAATAATAAATCTCGAAAAAAAACCGGTAACTTACTTAGATTGTTTTTTAGTTCCAGATTTTTTCGATAAAAGCTCTTTTTCCTTTTCAGATTTGACCACTTTTGAAGCTTCTAACTTCGATTGTTCGCATTTCGTTGAATCAATGTGATTGAATTGCTCTGCATTTGTCAACTTGTCAGGAATTGATTTACTATTATTGGCCGTATTTTCATCGTTAGTTGCGGTTGTTTTTGATTCATTTTCTAATGTTTTTTGTTGTTGTTTAGCTTTTAGCTTGCCCTCTTTTCTTGCCTCTTTCTTTTCTTCTTTTCGACGTTGTAGTTCAGCTGCTTTAGCTGCTTCTTCCGGTGTCAGATTATCTAGTTTGACAACCTTTAAAAGAAAATAATTAAAAAAAACATTTATAATGTGAGACTGCTTTGATAAAGCCGCATAAGATGTACAAATGACAAACGCAGCCAACATATTAACAACGAGATAATCGAAACGATTTCAAATGGAATTAAATCTTCATACCCGGTTACACAAGTGAGTGGCTATCTGGACTCAGTCAGTTAGTGGATATTTGAAGCGAAAACAATACTCGATTTGAGTTCGGGATTGAATATCCGGCTCCGAGATGTAAGTAAATCCAGTCGACGAGTCCCAAATGGGAAGAAATGCACATTTTGGATTCCGCTACTAGTCACAATCTAGCTATCCAATGAAAATCTTATTTTAAATAAGAAAACAATGTAAGATGATAAGAGTATTTGCTTTTCAAGTAAAGAATTGTTTTACTCAATGCCTATGCACTAATCGGTCACTAATTCAAGTAATTTGCTATTTTTATTACATACGACCAATTACATGTACAGTTAGTTTAGTCATTTCTGATCAATTATAAGAGTTTAGCATGAAAATCTCTTCGACTTGTTGTATTGGTACTTTACTATAACATTTATCTAATCCAGTTGTTGGTTATTTTATTAATCTTGAGCAGATTTTGTGCACATAGGACGAACGTCTTAGCAAAAATCAATATATTTAGTACTTTGCATGGTAAACTAACCGAAGTCAAAAAAGTATTGAAAACTAGTAGGTACTAAAATGTCTCATTTTAGTATAGGATTGCTCAACAGTGCGTATTATCCACGACCCCATCAGGAATCAATTCCAAATATCACGACGAGTTGAACATTTAGACCACTGAGTCGGCATCCAATAGCTTATATTTCAAAGTTTAATGGATTTGTGACTGTCATAGTCAAAAATTATCATTTTATTATACCAACTGTAGTTTTTCTTAGGGTGACGCATTTTTTTTAATCACTTGAAACATACTTATGTAGTCATAAAGTTAGAACTGAAATAAATATCAAATTATCGAACTCAAGTACTGAAGTTATTATTACACGTCACTTATACAAGGGATCTTGATTTTGCCAGATAAAAAAGATAGGAACAGTTATTTAGAGAGAGAATCAATTGATTTCAAATATTTCAATGAGTTATAATGATAAGTGCAAACCTGGTTAGGGTACGCGCGATTATTGTAACCAGCAGTTGGAAGTTTGAATCACATGACCCGGAAGCATTCACTCCCCATCTTAAAACACTTGCTTTCAATTCAGGAAATATATATTTCTTTTAATGCATCACATTGACTGCGCCCCGATGGTTTCTGCCAAAAATGATACTACTACTATTATTTTTACTACTCTGTTATTGGTCTTGATAATTTCAACTTCTCGTGTTGATGTAATGTGAAAACTTGAATCAATGCACAAACTCTCAAGGAGCGAACTTTAAAGTAGGTCGGTACAGCTATCTTTACGTAATTAAAGCATCTACTTTCAAAATCTTGTAATTACTCAATCACTCTAACAAATGACGTAAGGAGGAGTGTGATAGGAAATATTAATTTCCTTACTAAAAAAAACAAACTCACTTTATTGGTTTTGACAGATCCTGATTTTGCAGATGACACAGTTTCAGACTTGGTAACAGCAGTATCATCTTTAGAAGAACCATCCGGAATGTTAATTAAAACACAGGGAGATTCGTGGCCAGTAGCTAAACTGTAAATTTGAAAGAATGTTTTCGGTAAAGCAAAAAACATTTATTGTATTAACCAAATGTAAAATCAACTACACGAATAGAGCTACATCGACCGGAAAAACTCAAACAAATGACGCGACTGTAACTTCAATCACAACAATGTAAATGGTATGTCGCTTTAAATAACTCAATATGGGTGTTCGAGTGCTCAGTTAAACAAGTGTGAGATAGTTCAATTTTAAAATAACACCGATTTATGCAGCAAAATACGTGACTGAGCGCCACAAATTCATACAGCTGCCATGTTTTCGAAAATGAAGTGGGTGAAGTGAAGTTCAGACCTGCAACTTAGTGAATGAAAGTTGAACGCCTAAACTACTGAACCACCTCTCCAGCCTCGAGCAATGGATATAACAAATACAGAGAAACTTGGATGTACACACACTTTTTGATTTACTTAACAAGGCTACTAAGTATAAATTTATTTAATTAGCTGTGAGTCACACATTCGGTACAAAGTTTAGCGATACTACCCCCCATCATGCTCAAACTGAAGTACGTAAAATTAGATGTGAACCTGTGACCTAAGAATTTTGAAATAGAAGAGTCCAACAATTAATCCCCTGCTCTCTATAACACTTGTTAACTGTACCCGTCCAGTTAGTCTTCTACTTGCGCAAAACTCCCCTACCTAATTGCATGCATTGCTGTCTCCCATTGACGTTAACCTGCTATGCACAGTCAGTTACAATGTAGAACTTCGTACGTACATAAATCAGTTCAGGTTGCCATAACCCGTCAGCACAGAGACGCAACTGTCAGTTCAAATCCAACAGTGATAGCAATAGTATAAGTATTAGCAGTAATGGAGAAGATTAGAGTTCGAAGATATTATTCAAGAAATATATTTCAGCTAAATAAATTAAGAAAGAGAAAACTAGAAGTGATGAGGAATTCAGAAGGTTAGAATTTGAGAAAACACAAAGAGTGGATGCACCTATGTCACTGCATACGGTTTTCAGCCATGTCGTCCAAGGTCTCTAACTATTGGTGACTTCCGTCTCGCGGACCCCAACAGCACTGCTTACTCGGTTGTCCCAGGATACACGAGAAATGCTCCGAAGACATCTATAATCGAATACTCGAATGTCCTCTACTCTCACCGGCCATGTTTTGCAAGCATATATTAGGACGGAGAGAACTGCTGTAAAGTACACTAGTCCTTTGGTTAGCAAATGGATATCTCGACTGCGCCATAGGTGACGCAAGTTGGCAAAAGCCAATCGAACATTCTGTATCCGTGCTGAGATTTCGTCAGTCACCAGTACTGATGAGACTCCCCACATAAGTGAAGCGATGAACACGCTCAACTACTTCACTCCCTATCACTAGTTCAGGTGCTGATGCAACATAACCTGATGTGGAGGAATATTTGTAAAATTATCATCAAGCAATAACATATTATGTGTAGCTAATGACTTTTCAACAGAATACTAGGCTTTTTTTAACAAATCATTGAAATTAATTACCAAACTGATTCATAGGGTGCATCACAAATGTAGAAACCACGACGTTGAATCTGTATTATATCACCTTTTTTAATATGACGCATATCAGGATCACCAAGTAGACATTGTTCTTGCTAGAATAAAAAGAATACATATATACACATATATATATACCGATATCATTTCAATGGACATAGAACATTCCAAAGGAATGAATGATAAATACATGTGCATATATATGAAAGATATTTTAGTGAGATTCTCTTTCGGATTTCAACAAATCACATGAATATCACATGGGATAGCACTTTAAAACTGTTCAATTTCACTACATTTGTTGATAGTACTAACGCTTCAAAAGTGAAATGACCTATTGAATAAGTGTAACAGTGGGAAATGATTAATTGATTTTTTCATTAAAGAGTTTTGGAGATTATTGTTTCACATTGGAATCGTGAAACAGTTATCGTTAGACCACCATCAGAAAACTGAAAGCATTGGACGGTTGTTTTGTCCTAATATGAAACTACTGAGTAGTGCGCGCCCATGACCCTCCTTCGTGGGAATCGAACCCAGGACCTTCAGTCTCGCGTGCACGCACTTAAACTCTAAACCACTCAGACGGTATCTAACGGTGTTAATGTGTAACTTTGATTATTTAAAGGATTTTGCGCAACATCAGTCTACGTCTTCGGTAGTTACTGCCTACACCCGATAAGCTTGAACTCCAGTAGTCACAGCTTCTTACTAGGACTCTAAGGATTTCCTCAAGAAGCTAGTCACTAATGAGCACATTTGATGATTTTTTCCCCAAGAGCGGAGGTTGTGGATGCGCACTGCTGAAGAGTCCCACCCATACTAGGACGAAACAGCTTTCAGGTTTCTAATGATGGTCTAACAATGATTGGTTGATGATTTCAATTAATTAACATAGAAACTAGTTTAGTACTTATGAATACTGATTACTAATTCATGTATGAAACTTCTTAGATTATGGAATCTAATAACTGGAGTGATGATTTGAGTGTAGCTAGTCATATGAACAAATTCAATGAAAATAACATTTGAACTGATTAGAAACGAACAAGAAAAAGAATCAAATGAATTTGTGTTGGGGATGTTAGATCCCCAGAACTCGCTTGATAAATATCTTTATTTTAGATTTATTTCATGGACCGATCAGTTGACCTTGAGATCGTAGCATCTCATCATTCATTGATTGTACTTTCGTTTGAATTATTCAATAACTGTATTGACCATAATTTTGTATTTGAATAATTCGATTACGGTATCAATTATCCTACATATATATATATATGTATTTCATTGTGTGCTGACTGTTGTTGTAGAATACAATTTCTACGCTTATCGAGACTTCTGTTTTGCAGTTTCGGATTCATGGTAGCCTACTTGGACGCTGGTTCATTGTCTCGTTCGCATTTACCGACTAAAGTGAACTCGTAATAGCTTGAAGCGTACCAAGTGACGAGCGTAACAATTTGTTAAACGAATGAGTACTTTAGCACTTCTTTTTCGTCTATATTAGTTTATTTTCAATCTAATTAAATGACTGAACAATATCAGCTTCGATTACTGAATTTCTTCAGAACATAGAAAAATTGTATAACAATGTCACATTAATCGATTAAACTTATATTATACTTATAAAGCAACATAGTAATAACAGTTATAATAAAGTCTAATTATTGTAGGGAGTTAACAGTTAAACAATAACAAAAATCTATCCAACTACTCAATGATCAAATAAATAGGTTTATTTTCTTGGCTTTGAACTAAACATTTTTTTTCTTTGTTTATAGACGATTAATACTTTATTTGGTTAATCAAACTAAAAGTAACTTGAGCACCATTCGAACTTGCAACATTGGCCGGAATATGAATAAGTAGGATTAAATCAGCGGACAGGCAAACTGAGAAGCGACGTCAGTCCGTGAATCCATTGACTGTTGGACCAAGACATAGATGTGCACTACTTGGTTAGTTAGTATTGGCGGGATCATAGTGACTAATATTTTATAAGACGTAAAGCGGCATGGATCAGAACCTATCACAATGGCGCTGATGAAATCACTTTTTTATCTTTCCTTAGACTCCGAGTCACAAAATTACCCGATGCTTCTTAAGTCGACGAATTCAGTTCTGATATTCATCTTAATGGTTTCATCTCGCTGTCTTGATGCAGTTTGGTGGAGTTAACCAATGCACATATGTGCCTAGTTGTTCTACGTTGTTTACGATCGAATCAGTAGATAAAAGACAAGCGTGATAAATAAATAGAAACTAACCCAACTCTACAGATGATAAATGAATAGAGCGAACGAAAATCAAGAAAAAAAAGAAGGATATCTATCACCAAAGATGTAACTTACTTTCGAATATTTATTAACATATAGTTTAAAATCATCATCTTTGCTTAAAATTGCTTTATTTAAAAGATTATCATATGTTAGACAACTGACTGGAATTAATGGTGGATGAGAATTTTGTGGATCTGTTAACCAAGTAACTTTAAGTGTTTTCTTGTAATCCTTTGAAACGTAAAAAAAAAATACAGAAACAGAAACATATAAACAAAGCAGAAAAGAAACACACATACATGTAAATGTAGTAGTAGTAGTAGTGTGGTGCGTGCTACTTATAAGTAGTATATGACGCGAGTGTAAACGTAACGTCTGGCAGCAGAAGATGGGGGAAGATCAAGAAAGGAAGAGTGGGAACGCGATTGGATTTGTAAGAAACGCCCCGACCGTAGCTGCTACCTTGACGTGGTGGTCGGGCTTGCCTATCGTGATGACCCAACCGAGCTATATTGGCTGGAACATATGTTCCTGCAGGTCCTACCATGCCAGGCTGGTCGATTGGAGAACGATGAGACTAAAAGCAGCTACCCAAGGTCTGGGGGCGAAGTCGTACTGCTGACTGCAGAGGGGTGTGACAGCAGTAAGGTGTTTCCCTCGGACAACCAGCATCTGCAGCGATGCTGCCTTCTCACAAGGAAGGAAGGGTTAGAAAAGGTTGGCCCTAAAAATGTCACACCTACCCTAACTCACGGATTTCCGTCTCCTTGGGTAAGGGTGCCCACTAAGGGCATTTAAGAACGGAGCTGATCCTCTAAATACCTTTCATAAAAAGGCCGTGCGAACTACGATGAACAGGTTCACTCCTTTAATGTCATGTGATGTGCCCCTAGCCTCTCCAAGTTGTAAGACTGATAATATCAAGAGCATGTCAGACCAACATCTGAACATGCGCACTAATAATTATTATCCAAGAGCTAGGTGCACTGCCCAACCACCTAATCCTAGAATTATTAGTGAAAGTGGAAATGGAAGATTTTTCACCCCTCACCCTATCCTAAATACCCGGGCTTTTATTCGCAAAAACGCTGAGAATGAAAACTCTATGCATCCTGCTCTACAAACCAGCTGGTAAACATGACCCCCAAATTTAGAAAAGGCCATAGCAACTGGCACTCGTATATGGCTAACCCTCCCCAAGTTAAAACCATTCCGTATAAATTTAACCTTAGTAACGAGCTGTGTCATCAAGACATTACTAGAAACGGTGGTGAACTGCAATGCCAGCCGAATCAAAATTTTTTCGGGATACAGCCACTTGTGGTACCTCTTGCGCGACATATAGCTCAAGTCATTTCATACCACATACAGAATATGACAGCACGCTCCTCGCACAATCTCAAACAGACAACATTCTCCCCTTTCCCCCGGGCTAACAACCCCTCCTGTAAATTCCAGTAATTTACTTAGCATGTCCCCCCCAAACTCCTCATACCACACTCACGTAGATCATAGTAACTCCTTTACCCAAGATAATAATAATAATAATAATAATTTATTCTCAAATAACAAACATGTTACAAGAGACATGCCAATTTACAGGCAAGATCAAAATGTTAAGATTAACAACATATTTCTTTTAAAACGGTATACATTTACTGAAAAATTTCACAAGATTCATTGTGTTCTTAAAGATGGAATGTTCAATGCGAATAATTGGCGCAAGTTACAGATGTCCCGCTAAGCTAAAATAGTTTAGGGTATCTTGGGTAAAGGAGTTACTATGATCTACGTGAGTGTGGTATGAGGAGTTTGGGGGGGACATGCTAAGTAAATTACTGGAATTTACAGGAGGGGTTGTTAGCCCGGGGGAAAGGGAGAGAATGTTGTCTGTTTGAGATTGTGCGAGGAGCGTGCTGTCATATTCTGTATGTGGTATGAAATGACTTGAGCTATATGTCGCGCAAGAGGTACCACAAGTGGCTGTATCCCGAAAAAATTTTGATTCGGCTGGCATTGCAGTTCACCACCGTTTCTAGTAATGTCTTGATGACACAGCTCGTTACTAAGGTTAAATTTATACGGAATGGTTTTAACTTGGGGAGGGTTAGCCATATACGAGTGCCAGTTGCTATGGGCTTTTCTAAATTTGGGGGTCATGTTTACCAGCTGGTTTTGTAGAGCAGGATGCATAGAGTTTTCATTCTCAGCGTTTTTGCGAATAAAAGCCCGGGTATTTAGGATAGGGTGAGGGGTGAAAAATCTTCCATTTCCACTTTCACTAATAATTCTAGGATTAGGTGGTTGGGCAGTGCACCTAGCTCTTGGATAATAATTATTAGTGCGCATGTTCAGATGTTGGTCTGACATGCTCTTGATATTATCAGTCTTACAACTTGGAGAGGCTAGGGGCACATCACATGACATTAAAGGAGTGAACCTGTTCATCGTAGTTGGGAAAGTCGGTGGCAATCGGGTTTGAATCCTACCTACTTTTTTACTTGAGACCCAAGATTTAATCAGCTCACTCTTCTTAGTTAAAGACGGAGAATGTTTCGGTCCCCTGGACGTGTTTTTCAAAATCACGTCAGCTTCTATCATGTTCTCTCGTGCAATATATTTTGGGGATGGATTCTTAATTTTATTAGTTTTAGCTGGAACTGTGTTGTTTTTTGGGACATATTCACTCGAGTTAACGTTCGAACTGCTGGGATTAGGACTGCAAGGGTCATTCGATTTCTTGGTGACAGAGGGGATCCGTACTTTGTTAGGTCAGAGTTAATACAATCTCTACTTAGTAACAATCTGATATCGACCTCACAGTATGGGTTCTTGAGGTCTAGATCTTGTGACATATGGTATATATATTTAAGGAAACTGATCATTTGAACGGTATTACACTGACTTGACCGAGTTATTTACTATATCCGATGCAGTTAGCTTCTAAAAAGCAAACCTAGGTTTTCAATGAGTCACTTCATACTTGTCGTAGACTAGCATTCCGAAATACTGTATATAAGCCCACAACAGCTTGACAATGTTCTTAACCTCTGAATTCATTAGTTTAAACTTACCAATCGGCTGACGGTAATCCTGTTACCTAATAACTGAACATCTTTTCCATAAAATCTCTTCCTACCTCCATTGTTATTATTATTAATGCAGCCAACACTTGTTAAGGGAGAAATGAAAACATTTGGCTGATTAAAACCTTTATATAAATATCATTAATTTCACTGTTTTTTGAGTATATTTGTTTTACTTAACTTATGAACTTGTTTGAATTATTATTTTCTACCATTTTTGGACTCCTGTTTGTCTTGGTTTGTTCGTTTGCAGTTTTTCGCTCCAGGAATCTACAAAATTGAAGAACGACATTGGTCGTCTATTTGTAATTTGACGAACGACATTTTGGTCGATTATTTGTGAATTAAAAATAAACTTTGGTACCTAACTTTGGAATTTCGTTTTGTCATTGATTTGGGTTCGTGAATTGCAAAAAGATTGACACACAGTACTTCACAAAAGGAAGGTGCAAAAATTGGACGTAACAAAACTCTACAAGTTATACTCTTGTACATCTGTTATAGTTAGACAAGCACCAATCACACTCAATTTTCAATGATGAGTAAAAGGGAAATATCACCAACTACCTTTTAACCGCGACAAATGCGGCATCTTGCATTTTAGTGAGCATCACTATGATATACCACTCCACTTACAAAAAGGTAGGGTTCAGACACATATCAGTGCTTGATCTGGGTATCCGTTACGCCAGAAGCCTAAAATTCGAAGCACATACGTCAACCATTATTTCTAAATCCGGACAACTAATTTGGTTTATAAACAAGAACTTCTTCACAAGTGAGGCTAAGCTTACTCTCTTCAAAATCTGTATAAGGCCCACACTTGAATATTGTTCACTCATATTTTCAAACATGATATGATGGACAAAATGTGAGTAGAAAATGTACAAAGAAGCTTCACCCGGCGACTACTCGGATTGAGCCATAACCTTGACTACACAGAAAGATGCAAGCATCTTTCCCTAGAACCTCTATGGCGCCGCCGGTTAAAAAACAACCTAATACTCCTCTGTAAACCGATAAATGGTCTCTCGTTCGTAAAATACCGCCAAATTATGAACCACGACACTACTTACAGACTTAGAAACAACGCATATACACTATTAACGGCAAAACACAAGAAATTATTGCGTTGTAATTTCTTTATAATACGATATAGTCTATTGTGGAAAGGATTACCAATTACACACAATCACTAAGCTCAAGAAACTAGTCATGCTGTTGCTAGACTCTAAAGAGATTTATCGACTATTCCCGGAACTCACACAAAGTCCCCAGGCACTCTTTTATGGTCCACCAAATATTTAGATGAACCTCGGAAACGAATTATAGACTATGAACACATTGTGTTCTCATTACCACCCATACATGTATCATGAAATGATAGACCAATTCCCATTGCTCCTACTAACAGTAATAGGTTACGCCTTTGAAGTGTTACCCGTGACTTTTCTCTGAATTTAAATTCCGATTATTATTTTCATATCTTCAAAGCAGTTTTAGTTTTTATTTCTAGTAGACAGACAAATTGAAAAGCCTGTAGATGCTGATCAACTACTGTCAATTACAAGGAACTCAAACACCGTGTATAATTGTGAGTATCTTCTTATTTAAGTACTAACAGTTTAACTAATTTTAATTTCCCCAATTCATTAACATCCAAACACCTTGCCTGCTTACCAACTTATCGCTTTACTCATTAATTTTTAACATTATTTCAACTCTTTTTTTCTCCTTCTCCTCGTTCCAGCTCCCTGTCCTTCCTATTTCCAAACTACCTATTGACTGACTCATCTTACAAATTATACCATTCGTTTACTTAAAATCAGTGTGATATGCTATGTGGATATATTATCTGGCAAAGTTGTCTGGATTGCTTGTAATGTTGGAGCTAGTAGAGAATGTTAATTCCGATAAGGTGTACAAAACAAAAAATTGAGAGTAGACTAGAGACCATTATTTACAATTAACCATTAAACGTAAGAGAGCCTAACATCACAAAAGGAGGGAGGGTGGTGTATCTGACCAGCATTCATGACGGTGGGGCGATAACCTCAATCTACCCATGTCTGTGTGGCAGAACATTTTGTTTGCTTACGGCTCCTTACGATATAGCAGGATGTAACAAATCAGTGATATTGATGTTACTTTTCCTAGTTAACCTCGTCTACAACCCATGTCTGTAACCTTGCACTGGTTTTTACTTCCTACCGAGAAATCCTATTACAAGCTGGTCTGGACAACTATACTAAAAAAGAGCTCATTCATAACTTCTTGAGCCTCAGAGTTAAAAATAAAAAGAATAAATAAAACCAAAAATATATATCACTGATCCTCTTTATTATATTTTGTAACTCAACATTATTACTAACAACTTGGTTCTTCTGAATTTCCTCTATTCATTCAACTAACTTCCCATTAGTTATCTCACTACTGAATTGTCTTCATTAACCCACATAGGTGCAGGTGTACAGTTAGTGTTATGATATTAAAAAAGTCTGAGTAAACATGCCTTTGTTTGATCCATAAACGTATGTGCGAAGCCGTTGTTCGGCTTTGAGCAAGAATAGTTTATGTTCCGCTCCTCGTCCCGTTTTCTTTATTCCTCTTTCTTCAGAACCTTATTCCAATCGTCATATATTAGTCTGGATATTTGCAGTAGACTTGGTTACCCTACCCAAGAACATGTGAAATCATTAGCTGATGAATATCAACCAGACCTTTGTACACGTACCGCATCAATTCTTGTTATATAAAAACCTATCTCTACCATGAATCGTTTCTCAGTCCATAAGATGATTGTCGTAACGCAACCTTCGTAACTTGTGCCAATTACTCGCATTGTACCTTCATTTTTAAGAATACAATGAATCATGTGAAATGTTTCAGTACCTGTATACCGTTTTAAAAGGAATATGTTGCTAATCTTAACATTTTGATCTTGCCTGTAAATTGGCATGTCTCTTGTAACATGTTTGTTATTTGAGAATAAATTATTATTTTTATTACTCTTTAGGTACTATAGCGACGCAGTAACAATGTACCTATGGACTACAGAAGTTGCATTCGAAAGCACGGTTGCTGATTTTGGCTGGTTTTGAGCAGGGAAAATAGTTATCCTAATGCTGTTTCTGGGCGTTGGACTGTGTCGACTGAGCCTTGGAACTTCTTTTTCTCCTATTCTTAACTAGCTTACTGGTCTTTTTAGTAATAGGAGTGGTGTCTTGCTTCCTCTGCGGTGTTTGCGTTGAGTGATCTAAAGTATGGACACTGAGAGGCGTACTATCGACTGACTGTTTGAGTTTTTTAACAACCCGTTCACACGATATTGGGATTTTCGACGCACTATCAACCCCGAGGTTTATGCCTCTACAGGTTTTCCTGGTTGTTATAGTGTAATATGTACTAACGACCTTATTACCTAACATGATACCAGGAAGATTAGGAGGTGAAGACCGAGAAAATTGAAATACAAGATACACAAAAATGGGTTTAGGAAAGAAGATATTTAGTAGCATATAATAAAACTACAAGGAATAGAGCCTGAAAGTACTCCGAAATTGCAACTATACCTTTGACCGTATTGGTAAGTAACTTTGCGTGTATCCAGTCACTTGTCCACAAGTCCTGTGTTTGTGAGTGAGTGGATGTATGTATGCTGCCGAGGCAACTAGAAAAGGAGCACTTGAATGAGGCAGCTAGATATACCGCACAATGGTTCTGACTTGGAATGGTTCCGTTTGCCCGACAATATTTTCAGATTGTTAACCAATGAATGGAGACAAATTTTTATAGATTCGGGGTTGATAAAGTATCCCAAAAGTGGATTGTTTACCGTAAATGGAAGAGAGTCAGCGAGGACATGTCAAATTCGAAGCTCGTGTATGGTCCAATTTGATTGACTAAACCGAAAGTGAACCATTTGGCTAGGTTCTGTTAAAAAGATATAAACCAGAATAATAAGCGATCTTGTATGCCAAGTGAGGAAAGTATCAGAAGATTGTGCAAGACGCTGTTAAAGAGTCTACTAAAATGAATTATCACTGACTGACTAAATTATCTACGATGGTGATTTTATCGGAACATCCCAAGTACAATGTCAAGAAGAGGCGTATGAGTTCTATATAGTGACCTAGTATTACTTCGTTTGCTCTACTTTGAGCGGCTAAACAATGCTCTGGCCATATCAACTGCCCCATCTCTCACTTTTTATTGTTGTTTTTCTAAGAACCTTATTAGCAGTGCACAACCATAGTGCTTCTTCTTCGCAAAATGCATCTAACGCCTGCCCTTATCGAGGTGATAGCTTATACCAGGCGCCTTCCAATCAACAATTCTTTAAATATTCCCTCATGAATTTTGCATACCACTGGAAAACTATGCTGGGTACCTACCCATTTTTTTATCCACTAGTTGAAAACGTGTCTGTATCAAATCGTTCATACCAGTGAAACAGCGCGAACTTGCGAAGTCAGAATAAAATTATTACTATTATTATTCTAACTAGGCAACCTATTACAGTAAATATGGTCGCATTTGTAACAATTTGATTTTGACCGTATACTGGCATGCCTCATGTAACACACTGTCACTTAAGAATAAAGATTATCATTATCATTACTAGTGACAAAACTCTAGTGCTAACAGTTAGTCTTGTCACAAATTCACAGACCCTAATCTGAGCACACTTAAAATTAGAATTGATGTTTTTACTAAGGCGTCTTTACTCCATTTACTTTTATTTTTTTGGTTGATACCCTGACACACTAGATATTATTTTGTCTTTCGTGTTTTCCTTGTTCACTTACATGAAAATTATTCTTGCTCTCTTACGCTTTCCCATTTTTACACAAAATGTTTTTCCACACATACCGAAGTTAATTGACAGCTCATAATCATTTTGTCTACACCACGTATATATCGATATTTGATGACCCCAGTGTGCTTTATAATATTCACTATTTTATTTTATGTTTTTATCGCTCCCAGTCAACGCACATTTTCTATATCCCAGCCTGCAATTATATTATAAAAGTAAACCCTTGTACGAAGCCTCTCAAAGACTCACAATCATACTGTTAGAGTGTAACGTTTTATTTTAGACGCATTAATCCCAAACATGTCTACACGATCTCCATTAAAATCCAGGATATCAGATCAGACAAAACTTGATCTGGAACGGAACATCTGAAACTTTCAGTTATAGCCTGCATGATGTTGATGGATGTAAAACTAATTTTGGATGGATGTTTAGACGTCAAACATCTGAAATGTATTTATAGATGTTTCGTTCTCTGTAGCAATAGGAATATTATTGGTTGAACTTTTCACAAGTTGTGTTACGGTTGTCCATAATAGTAGCGCTACTCATGAGGAATGTGGTCCCATAATAATTTTTTGTTCTCAAATAACAGCATGTTACAAGAGGCATGTCAGTTTACAGGCTATATCAAATTGTTACAAATGAAATCACACTTACTGTAAAATGTTTCACGGTTAGAATAATGATGAGTCTTATTGTGACAGCATGTTTATACCACTTGATCGACAGGAACAGTTTGATACAACCATATTTTCAACAAATGATTACAAATAGAGTAGATACACAGTAGAGTTCTTTGTTGGTTTGCATAATTCATGAGTTGATTGGCTGAAAAGTGTTGATTGGTAGGCGCTTGATTAATAGAGGTTTATTTAGCGCTTGGTCCGAACATTCGATGCAATA